TTGAGACCTCTCGCGGCCGCCTCGACCGCGCCGCGCCGCCCCGCCGCCGACAGCCTCTCCCCGCTGGCCCACCTGCTACAGAAGCCGTTTGACGATTCGCCGCCCGCGCCCGCGCCTGCGCCTGCGTCGATAGCCTCTGGCCGTAGCGACGCCCAGGCCTCAGCTGGAGGCCCCTCCCATGCGCCGCTCCCGCCTAAGGTTGGCGGCGTACGCCTCCGCCCGCTCGACTCTTTCCTCGGCGGTATCGATCTTGACCAGCTGTTGGAGCAGCTCGAGGCCGACGGCCCACCCGACGACGCGCTGCCACGCCCCGAGCCAGCCTTTTCCTCGTTTCTTACCTTTGACTCCTCGAGCAGCAACGGCTCAAGCAGCGACGACGGCGACGGCGACAGCGACGTCGGGGGCAACAGTGCTTCCGCTACGCTTGCCGACTCTGCCACGTCCCAACCACCCGCCAAGGTCTCGACCGGTGTCGGACCTAACTCGCCAACGGTTCGCACGCTCTCGCGGTCGCGGCCTGCCACGAGCACGTACTCGTCGCGCGGTCCGGACCGCACCGGTGCTGCGGCAAGGTCACCAACCGCGGGCTCTGTCACCAGCGTTGCTTCGCGAGTCTCCTTCAGCCGAGCACCCAAGTCCAACATGCGTGCAGTCACCGTCCGCCACAATGGCACACGCTCGCTCACCGCCTCGTCGCTACCATCGGCACGCAAGGCAGCCGAGCCGCCCACTGTCTTCCTCGACCTCCGCCAGTCAGCCGCGGCCAAGTCGACAAGCCGCGACTCCGTCGCACGCCGCGCCGGACCACCCGCACTCGCGCACATCACCTCGGACTCTGATTCAGAGTCCGACTCAGAATCGTGCTCTGGTGGCGACGATACCCCTCTCTCTCGCGACGAGTGGCTCCTGCGCCGCCGCGAGATGCGTCGCAAGGCCGCCGCTGCCACCGCCGCTGCCGAGGCCAAGCCCGTTCGCATATCGCTCAAGTTCCGCAAAGCCAAGCCAGCGACCGCCGCGCCACCAGAAGCTACAAGGGTATCCACAGGCAGCGACGTGGCCGCCATACGCGATGAGGACGGCAGCGACGACGACGCGCTCGATCGTGAGTACGACGCCCGGGTGGCTGCTCACTCCGCCACCGCCCTCGACCACGCCAAGCCGTCGCCGCTCACAGCATCCGTACCATCTGCTGACTCTGGTGTCGACGTGGGTGTTTTCGCAGCGTCGGAAGCCCGTGAGGCCGAGGCGGCCCGTACCCGCGCCGCCGGTGTCCGCACCACGGCTATTGCACTCCTCGCCTCACGTGAGGGCGTGCCGGACCTCCCCAGCGTCATTGACAGCCTCCCTTCCATTGCGCGCGACCCCATGATTGTTCTCGCGGCTGCCGACCAGCCGCCGCTGGTGGCTAGCCTCCGTAGCCCATCGGCGGTGGTTCGGATCGACATGGCGCTTGTGCCGCGTGCCCAACTCGGGCCGGTTCTCGGCGCTGTGCTCGAAACGGCGCTCGTCGAGTGTGACCTTGTTTTGGCTGGCATGGTGCTCACCTCGCGCGCGGCAATGACCCCGCATCTTGCGCCGTCGGCCACGCCCGAGCTTCTCATTCTGCTCGCCGACTTGGCGCCAGGCAGCAGCACAGCACGGTCCAAGGCCATTCCTCGACTGCAAACCACGTTGGCAGCAGTCCAGGCTGCTAACGCCATCTCGGTCCCGTCAGCAGTCTCGGCCCGCGCCCACACGCTCTGCCTCGCGCATCTACTCCGGCGGCCACTCTCGTTTACCGGCCATGCCTGGCCTGCAAGAGCCAACGGCAGCGGGCGTGGCTTTCCACATGCTGCCGCCGCTGCCGTGGCAATCCCGTCGACACCGACGAGCGTAACGAGCCTGCTCGCACGAGCCGAGTCGTTTGGTCTCGATCTCGTCGGCCTCCGGTCGGCGATGCTGGAGGAGTCGCAGTCGGGACCGGCGGTGCTGAGCATTGTGGCGGCAATCGGCGGCTCACGCACAGCTGTCGACGGCTACACCGGCACCCTGGACGCCGGCCAAGTGCTTGGCGGCGCTGACGCCGTCGAAGCCTGGTTCGGCGGTGCTCTGCCGAACGCCCGCTCGGCTGCTGTCAAGCAACAGGTCCTCGCACCGCGGCTCCCGGCTCTGCTCTGGGGCACGCGTGCGCGCGTTGCGCTCGACATTGTCAGCTGCTCCTCGTTCCGCACGCTGGCGGTGCTCGACACCCTCGCGCGTCGCGGCTTTGACGTGCTTGGGATCGAGTCGCTGCCGGGCGCCGCTGGCGCCGCTTCCATGCGCGTCGTGCTTGAACGGCCCGATGCATCGCGGGCACTGGCGGGAGTAGTGGACGCTCTCGACGCCGAGCTGGGCGCGCGGAACAAGTCTGGCCGAGGGACCATGGCTATTGTTGCGCTCGCCGGCGACGCGGTGCCCAGCCCTGGCCGCGCGCCGTCACGGGCGCACGTCGAGCGGCGACTCACCTCTCACCTCAGCCACGTAGTGCCGCGCCCGGCACCGCATGCGCCGCAGACGCTGACGCTTGTCTTTCCGCCGGCCGCGTGGCAAGCTCAGTCGGCGCGATCCCACGCCCTGGCACTACTCGGAAGGCTTACCGCCCGGCTCCCGCTGGCCACCGTCCACGGCTTCAAGACTGTGGCACGTCTCACTGCATATCAAGCCAAGGCGCTGACGCCGTTCGAGGTTGGCGACCCGGCGTGGGCGCCGTCAGTCGAGGCGCTACAGGCCGGACCGGCTGCCGCCGCCGTTGTCTCGGTCATCAACGGCTTTGAACTTGTCGACGCCCTGCTCACTGCCGAAGGGGAGACCGGGGATGTCCGCCCGCTACTGTCGCCGACGCCGGCTGCTGCTTTCAAGATCATATGCAGCCTGTTTTGGGATAACGAGCTTGGGCTCGACTTGGCGTCACTGCTGAGCGCCGCGGCACCACCGCTCGTTGCGGCGCACGCCGCACCGCCGGGCTGCAGCAGCACATCGTGTCCGCCATCGTGGTTGATAGTCTCGGCCGTCAACACGCTCGGCCAGCTCTCGGCGTCAGTCCTCGCCAAGGTTCTAGGGCAGATCCTTGATCTAGACGCCGAAGTCTGCGTCGAGCAGTGCACAGTTGGCGACGACGGAGTTTGGCTCCGTCTCGGTCCGATGGGCCGGTCTGGGAGTATTGCTGTCACAGCGCTTGTCCGCGAGTGGTCCGCGGCAGTGGCGTTTGGCGACGCGAGTCGTGCACCGGACGATGCCATGGGTGCGAGCTCTGTTGTGCCCGGCCCGGTCGCCGACGTGCTGGCATTGGTCATCGATGACGGCCCGCATTCGGTCGCCGAGCTTGTGGCTGCGCTCCGGGCGCTGACTGATACCGACATGATGCTCGTTTCATTGGCCAAAGTGCAGGCCGGCTCGCCATGGGCGCTCTGCATCGAGGGCGTCGACGCCATCTCGGCATGGAGCTCAGGCGTGCCGCATCCGACGCCTGGTGCGGCCTGGCGGGTGGTTGTCGAGCCCGATGACGTCGCAAGCTACTTTCACACACTCCTCGATGCCGATGCGACGCTCGAGTGGGACCTGTGAGGCTTCGCCTGCACCAGCTGACGCTCACGAGTCACAAGCGGGGGCGACCGATGCGACGCTCGAGGACGGCCTGTAAAATCATTGTCTCTACGCGTTTACTCTCAAAGCGCATCGAGGATCGCGAGCTGGGTGGCCGCCTTGGTCGCCGACGCTTGCGCGGCGGCAATGACCTCGCGCCATGTCTCTGGCGGGAGCAGACCAGCGACGGCCGTCAACGGCGCAACCATGGCGTCGCGGATGGTGAGCGACGGGTCATCAAGGTGGATAAAGAGCGAGCGCGCCAAAGTCGTCCAGTACTCGGTGCCAAGGTCAGCACCCGAGGCGGCGAGAGCCACCAGCGCAGGCGCAGTCGAAGCACGGATACTGTCGTCGGCGTCGTTGAGCCGTGTCACGACCGCGTCGGCTAGCGCACGGACGTCATCGACAACGGCGGCGTCGACCGGAGCGAGGAGTTCAAAGAGCAGAGACGCAACGGCGACAGCAGTCTTGCGCGTGGAAGACAAACGGTCGTCAACGAGGTTGGGGAACGGTGCACCGAGGGCGGCGAGAAGCGCGATGGCGTCGGTGACTCCGAGCGCCCGCCAGCGGAGAACGGCGTCGACAACAGCCAGCGCTGCGGCGCGCAGCTCGGCAGCCGGAAGGCCGGCCCGCCACACAAGCAGCGGCGCAACGAGGTTGACAAGAAAGTCGAGCCAGGCCGGGGCGGCGGCAGCCGTCGGCGCGACATCCGAGCTTGCTGCGGCGTCGAGCGCGGCCGCCAGCGTCGCGATGATGCCAGTCGCTACTGCGGGATCCGCGGTCGCCACTGCAGACTCCACAAGCAGCCGCAGCGGGGGTGCTGCGGCTTCGTCTTCGCCACCAGGGGCAGCCGTTAGCGCGAGCTCGAGCGAGGCGGGGACAAGTCGGGCGAGAATGTGGGTGTAGAGCACATAGCGCGGTGAGACGAGCGACCACTGCGAGACAGAGTCGAGGAGTATGGCGAGGAGGCCTTGCGCATGTGCCGAGACGAGAACGTCGAGCGAGGGAGCACCGAGCCGGGAAACGAGCGCATCGAGAGCCGCAAGAGTTGCCGCTTTGAGCTCGGGCTCGGCGGCCCAGGCGAGTTGGGCAAGGAGGAGCTTGAGGAGGAGAAAGGTGGACGAGGCAATGGCGGCGTCATCAAGCGTGTGCTCGATGAGGACGGTGGCCACCCGGGTGAGGCCGACATGGAGTTCAGGCGACTGGATGTCAAAGCCTGGCCCATTGGCGAGAGTGGCGAGGAGCGCCGCGGAGAGCGGAGAGCCATCGGGCGCAAGTGCGGCGGCGAGCGACTCCTGCGGCATGCCCGAGAGTGCCGAGGCGAGGACGGTGAGAGCGGCGGCCCGGGCAATGGCCGAGCGAGTGCCAGGCGCATCGACGATAATGTCAAGGAGCGGGTTGAGGACGGGCGCAGGATCGACGAGCGCGCCGAGGAGCGCGGCCGAGTCGTGGAGCGCAGCCAGGACGGCAGGGTCCTCGTCGAGGGCGACAGCGAGAAAGGCCGAGACAATATCCGGGACAAACGAGGCCATGCCCCGCTCGCCATAGACCATGAGGATGCCGATGAGCCGTACGGCAACAAACCGCTTCTTGACGGTCCAGTCGGCCATGTCCGCGAGGACCTGCGGGAGCATGTCGTGCATCTTGCGGCCGACGAGGCGGCGGGCGGCAAGCGAGGGACGGACGCCGGCAAAGGCCTCGGGCGTGAGGCGCGGGTCAACAACCGGATCGTCGCCGTACGCCGTGATTTCGGCAAGCTCCTCAGCCTCGGGCGCTGCAGCGTGCGTCGCGACGGACTCGATGAGATCGCGTGCGAGGCCGTTGACGTCTGGGAGGTCGTCGACGAGACCAACAAGCATGTGCGGAATGAGGTAGCGGGTGTAGACGTGGCGGTCGGTGAGGAGCGAGAGCCACGACGCGAGCATGCGGAGCGCAGCACATCGGACTTTGGGCGCCCGGTCGAGAACAAGCGTCGCCAGCGACGGGCTGAGGTCTTTCATCAGGTCGGTCGAGATCGACGCGTCCTTGCAGAGCAGCAGTGCCTCGAGCGCTTCCACGCCCGCCACCCGAACCTTGGAGTGGCGATGAGCAAAGAGGCCGAGGGCGGCGTTGACCACCGACTGGGAGATGCGCATCTTGAGGGCCGAGCGCGCGTGGGCGCAGAGGGCGACAACCGCCTTGGCGCCGTGGAGGAGAACATCATGGAACGGGTCAGCCAGAAGTGCGAGGACTACGTCCAGCACATCGTCGACAAACATGGCGAGCTTACCGACAGTGGCGAGCCGTGGAACGAGGGAGACCACTAGGCTGCCGACTGTTGCCCGGATCTCTTCCGACGGCTCTCCGGGCTCGTACGCGCGTCCGGCGTCGCGCGCCGTCTTGTGCGGGGTGACGTAGCGGCGGACAAGAATCGGAAGCGCCAACGCAGCTAGTGTCTCGAGCATCGCCGCCTGCGGCGAGTCGCTGGCCAGGGCCGGTGCTGCGGCTGCCGACTCGGCGGGCGCCGGCGGGATAGGAGCGACAAGAGCGGCGACCAGATCCAGCGCGTTCTCGCGGTTGCGCTCTGAGCCCGCGTCCGTCACACGGAGAACGGCTGGCGCGACGGTGGTGCAAATGGCGACAGCGTACTCATCCCACGAGACCGACGCCGGCGGCGGGAGCAGAGCCTTGGACAGTGCCGCCAGCGCGCGCTTGGTCGCGCTCTTGTTGTCGCCGGCGAGCGCGTTGAGGTGGCGTTGTAGCGGCCCGAGGATGTCCGTGGAGGGTGAGGACGAGGAGGCCATATGTATGTATGTATGTATGTGTGTGTGTGTGTGTGTGGTGGTGGTGCTGGTGTAGAGGAGGTGTGTGTGTGTGCGTGGGGGGGGTGGAGTCGTGGCGAGCGAGAGCGAGAGTACGAGTCAATGCGGTGCGAGCGGTGGCGCGGCAAGGGAAGAGGAAAGGGAGGGGGGGGGGTGCGGGCGGAGTTGGCCAAAATTTTACCT